TTAGAAGCTTGGCACTCAGGTCAATCAACAAACACATCGACATTGACCCAATTTATCAACCGATCAGCAAAATCATAGGCGACACAGAATCAAGAAACAGATCAAAAGGAGGATGCAATCAAAACAAAGTTGCAAACAACGACAGGTCAAGGGTCAACAACAACCAATCAAGATCGAGGTTAGCAGAACAAGCTACAGGTCAAACGTGGAGAACTTCAAATGATTCACCTCTTCTATCTGAAATTTGTGCTGATGATGTTGTTCAGTAGAAGAACAATGAAAGCTCCACAACCAAAACACCCAGCTCAGAGAACCAAACACCACCAACACAATCATCCACCTGAGCTACAACTTTTCTCCACCATCTCAACCTTAAAGATAGTTTGAACTTTGCTTTTTACTCATTAGTTATGAATGAGTTCATCCACACCTCCGCTTCATTTAATCCTTAGTTGGATAACAAATCAATAATTCAGGTATTCATTGTAAAACTTGTCGGAACTACTTCAATGTTCGAAGAATCAATACTCCCAAAAGCATTCACTAGTTTATGCAGGATGAAATCAGGAAGAACCGGTGGAAGTGGATAGGACACACATTACGAAAAGCACAGAAATGCGTCACAAGACAAGCCCTCACTTGAAACCCTCAATGTCAAAGGAAAAGAGGAAGGCCAAGGAACACATTACACCGAGAAATAGAGAAAGACGTGGGAGGAATGAACAAACATTAGACAGAACTGGAAAGGGAAGCCCAGGCCAGAGTTGTATGAAGGAAACTGGTCGGCTGCCTATGCTCCATTTGTGGTAACAGGCGTAAGTAAGTAAGTAAGTAATTCGCTAGTTTATTATGACAGTGTGAAATCTTTGTTTTGAGGTGATTAACAGAGAAAAGCATTTTCACATCTGAATTATACAAGTATCACTGACCAACAAGTACCAAATTGCACAAAAAAACTTGTTTTCTGGGTATCCTTTCGACTAACTCCACTCATTACATTTTCATGGTGTCCCAGTTAATGTTGGTTTGTTTTTGGGGACGTTAGATCCCCAGAACTCACTTGATAAAGATCCTAATTTTGGATTTTGTGTTTTTAGCGCATGTGATGATCAGTTGACCTTGAAATTGCATTTCCCACCCGGAAAATCCTTGGCTGTTACTGGTTGATGTATTGTTTTAGTATGCCATTCTTGTGGCTTTCTCAAGGGCGTTTCTATGATGTATAAATAAACTGGACCTTGATTTTCTGGGTGTTTGTAGAATACATTTTGTACGCCATATCAAGACCTTTTGAAATTGTTAGTGGGGCTTTGATATGTCGCTAGATCACTTGTCTTAGCTCTCATTTACCGACAAAGTGAACACGCAGTAGTTAAAGCATATCCATTGTCAAGCATAACAGTTTGTAACGAGAAACTGTATTCGACGTTAACAAATTTCACGTTTCAACATTTACTTAAGAAAGTGATAATTCTCGATAAGTCAATCATTCATTAAGTTTCCATAGAAAATCATTTCATTATTTACAATTTCGGAATGATCTATGCATAATAATAACCAGGTAACTAACTGAAAAGTAAACACAATTATCTGATGTTCACGAAATGTAGGTTTGAATGACTGTCATAAATTTTTGTGAAAAATAACTTTCTAACTAGATAATACCATTAAAATATTTAAAGTTTTCTTTTCATCTGATTGTATACTTGTTTTTTTAGCATCAAAGTATATTTGAAAATATGCTTTTCAAATAGTTCCATTCATTTTAAACAATTCGGGTCGGGAACAGTGTTAACTCTCTTATGAGCCTTTTATTTTCAAGAGTAATTATTTACGATTAAAGTTTAAGTAGTTGTCTTATTGATTTATAATGGAGCTTTTAACTTATAAATATATAAAGCACTGATGATGTATAGGGCGTTGCTGTGAATTATTTTACTACTCTATACAAGTCAGTTACAAACTTATAATGAATAGTTGTCAAACTACTTAGCTAATGTGTATGATTTTTCAAAGTGCACTGAATTCTTATATAATGGATTGAGCTACAAAATCTTGTGTGGAGAACAACTCACAGACTCGTTGAAAGTGAATACTAGTGTGAGGCAAGGTTGCTTATTCTCAGCCTTTCTCTTTCTCTTGGCGATTGAGTAGATGTTGAAGAGGGCGACATGTGAGGGGATGCACTGGATACAGTGGATAGTTGGAATGCAAATGGAGGATTTAGACTTTGCAGATGATCTGGCTTTTCTTTCGCACATGCAAGAACAAATACTAGAGATGATTAGTGTAGCAGCATCAGTTCACAATTGGAAAAATCAAGATTCTGCGATACAACACAACATGCGCCAACCAAATCACACTAGATGGAGATGTCTTGGAGGACGTCAACACCCTTACAGATCTGTGCAGCATCATCAAAAATCAAGGTGGATCCGATGCAAATGTGAGGTCGCGGATCGGCAAACTCGAAACAACAATCGATCAACACCTATGTTCTTATTTTCAATACAAGCATTAAAACCATTCTATTGCATGGAGCGGAAACGTGAAGAACTACGAAATCCATCATCCGGAAAATACAATTGTTTATTAACAGTTGTATAGACAAGATACTGTGGATCTATTGGCCAAACACCATTAGTAAAAACCTACTGTGGTAGTGAACAAATCAGATTCTAGGTGAGAAAGAAATTAAGAAAAGCGCTGAAAGTGGTTGGGATACACATTGAGGAAAGTACCCAACTGTGTCATAAGGCAACCCTAAACTCGGAATCCTCAAGGCCAACAGAAAAGAGGAAGGCCAAGAAGCATATTGCGACCAGAAATGGAGAGCGACATGAAAAGAGTGAATAGAAATTGAATAGAACTGGAAAGGATTGCCCAAGACAGAGTAGGGTGAAGAGTGCTCATTGGTGGCCTATCCTTGATTAGGGATAATTTAGCAGTCTACACATATTGGGACCATAATGATTTGTACAGTAATGTACCCTAATTTTAATGTTAACATTTGTACATAACTGAAGAACTTCATGAGTAAAATGAACACATGTATAAGTTTAAATTTTTCAATAAATTTCCATTTGATGTTTGTTTTTCTAAGTTGTGAAAATTAATTTTAAATGAAAATGTTACATTAGATATAACAATGATTTATAAATAACCGCATATTTATTGTGTGAAACCAGACGTTAGAGATCATGCAAATCCGTATTTGCTTTAAATATTAACAATATTTCTTTTTGTTCTGTGCAAAATGTTTTTTTCAAGTTTTATGACAGAATAAAATTAATCACGTTGATTTAATGGTTTGAAGTAATTTATGCGCTTTCACTGTTCAAAATTCAATTGTGTTTTAACGATGCACATTTACATACAGTTTCAAAATTAATTTCATTAAGGTGTAACTTGATATTTTAAAAGAACTAAATCAGAAAAATATTATAACAGATTTACTAAATAATCATACAGAAATTAAGTTCTAAGTGTATAACAAACAACTAATTTGTGATCACATCGGATCTCCGTAAGCGATATTAGGGATAGTTTTTACTTACTTACTTAAGCCTTTTCCCCATAATGGAACACAGCCCGTCAATTAGTTTTCGTCAACCTACTCTGTCTTCGGCCCGCCTTGCCATTTCCGTCCAATTGTTGTTCATTCTTTTCATATCTATCTCCGTTCCTCGGCGTAATATATTCTTTGGCCTTCCTCCTTACCTTTGATGTTGAGGTTTTCAAGTCTGGGCTTGCATTGTGATGCAGTTGAGTGATTTCCATAACGTATGTCCTATCCACTTCCAGTTCTGTTTCCTGATGTCCTCCTCCACCGGAATCTGGTTTGTTCTAACCCACAGTAGGTGGTTGATGATAGTGTCTGGCCAGAGGATTCGAAGTATTTTGTGCGGACGACTGCTAATGAATACTTGTATCTTCTGGATGATGGTTTTTGTAGTTTCCCAAGTTTCCACCCCATGCAGTAGAATTGTCTTGACATTTGTATTGAAAATTCTGATTTTGATGTTAATTGATAGTTGTTTTAGGTTCCAGATGTTGTTCAATTGTAGAAGTGCTGTCCTTGCCTGACTGATTCATGCCTTTACAGCTGCATCAGGTCCACCTTGCTAGTCAGTGATGCTGCCTAGATATCTAGAGCTTTTTATGTCCTGCAAGTCATCTCTATCGCATGTTGTGTTTCATTTATTATTACGTGTGCGACAGAAGAGCCAGATCACCTGCAAAGTCCATATAATAGATAGTTCTAGAATCAATAAACAGAGGATAAATTCTAGTGGATGGATTCATTGAATTCGTGATTCGATGATTGTTTGACCAACATAAGAAACCTGTCAGCGTTGGTGGGCCTTTTCATCATGATATAGGTCTCATCAGAAGTGTGCATCCACGACTCTTGCTTGCGGCAATCGAGCCTAGGGCCATCGGTCTCTGCGCGAACATAGCCTCTAGACCACTGAGCAGACATCCAATAGTGTTGATGTCTAACCTCAATCAATCCACAGTAATTCAATCAAAAGCAACAATCTTCCAAATCCTATAATGAAAATGTATTTATGGTTAATTCAATCTATTATTGAGACATAATGTGTGGTAGTATCTTAAGTATCCAGTCGTCTGAAAAAATCAGACTATTTACATTTCATAGATATGTAGTGCGATCGTTACAGCTATTACGAGCCCGTCGCAAAGAAGAAGGGTTATTCCATAGTAAGGAATATATTCAATGGTGATTTCGTGGTATCAAAAGATTACCGAAATAATGCCAGAAAAGCGGGGCGAAATTACAAAGACGGCGGAACAAAAATGGCAGCTACAAATACGGAGCGCGTAAAGAGTATTATAAACAGAAAGCACAGTTAAACAATCACTGGAACAATTAGTTATAATAATGAATATTTATGAAAGATTTGCGTTCTTTTGTGTTGAGTTGTGACGATGCTGATACATGGATATCTGAAAAATATGAACTAAGTTCAAGTACAATGCATCTTGCTATGCAAACTGACAGTAGTTATACCATAGAAAAATTGACAAAACAACATCAAGAAACTATATCCAATTTGGATAACTTCCAAACCACTGTAGATCAATTGAAACTTCAAGCAGACGAGTTATTAGGATATGTAGACTGTTTGTATGTTTCAGCAGATAAAGATGTTCAATCAAAAGAACTTATTTCGGAGACTACCATAAAATCTAAGAGTGAGATTGGAAATTTAATAAAGAATAGAATAAAAAGTCTCTTAGATTCGTTTTCTGTTCTTAGTGGATGTATTCGTCAGACACAGTTACTTCTTTTGGACGCTGTATCTTTACATCAGCTGTTCCAAATGGCTTCATCAACGTATAGCTGGATCACTGAAAAAGAAGTTTACATCCAACTGTTAATAATGGACGATCTACAAGAAGAAGAGTTTTCTAAGATTATCGAAGGTGATGTTAGTACTAATCAAGGGTTAATTCAAAGATTGGAAATTGTTAAAAATCGATTTTCTGATCTAGAAGAGCAAATGAGTACAGCAGCTGAGCAAGTAAGCAAATTTGCAAATCATCTGTTGTCTAATTTTCCGTTTGTTTGTAGTATTAAGCAACTATGTTAGGGAGATCCATTAAATTGAACCAGCGTTTATTTAAGGCTATTCTGTAAATAAGTGATAATTTAATGGGTTGTTAAGATGACACTCAATGTAAAACATTGATATCTTCTAAGCTAGCTTTTCAACCAAAACGTTTTGTGAGTCTAATGTTGCAACACGAGCTTATTTGCATTCCTGAAGTTGATCAGATTGCAATTTAAGTTTGACTTCAAACAATACACTATAGCATCGTATTATTAAATATCAAGGTTTCCTAAAATAAGTTCAAATTAACTTACTTCTAACTTCTTTTATGCTTCTAAATGATCTTTTGGCTTCCATAGTCTGATGATGGGTTGAATTCAGCTCACGTAATGTGTGAGTCATTCACTTTTACTTTAGAATATTGAAGTTTATTGCAGAACTTTGTTGTCGATTTTGTGCTCTGACAAAGAAACTATCATAGAAAGCCAAACAATATGTAACACAGACATTGGATCTAATTACAGAATTTCGGAAAGTAAACATGCCACCGGGATAAGCTCATAAGGTTTTTCTATTATTCAATACTAAGGTTCTTGATGATATATTTGTACTAACGATGTTTAGAAGTTAATGCATGTTTGTATACCGTAATGTTTTTTAACACTTCTCAGCATGTTTATCACCTTCCTAAATAGTCAATTTAGAAAACTTCTATACCTAAGAGGAATTTATATAGAGTCATATTAATGACTATTTTGAATGTTTCTATTAAACCAATCGCGTTTTCTTCATAAAAGTGGATTTACTACAGATCCGAAATTGATTACTGTGTATCTTAAATGGTAAATATTATTTTTGTTCCGGAATAAGATAAACTGAAATCCAAGTGATTTTGTTGGAACAACGTTTAAAGTTAGTAACTGATTTGGAGTAGAGTAATATACTTCCTACACACCAGCATACATTCTGTTTTTCGACAATCCCATTGGAAAAAAGAAAGCAAATCTTTGATTTGTCCTGATTTGGATTGAAAACTTAGTATGACCACCAAAAAGACGTATAGTTTCGGGAGAAGCAAAAAAGAAGACAAATGCTCAAGAGTAAATTCATCCATAATTAACGCCGTAGACGTAACTTCGATTGATGTAGTCTCACGTACATGGTATATGAATCGTGAACTCGTCAAAGGATCTAGAAAATAATTTATCTTATCTGTAAATGACAAATATTAAACCATTTAACTATTCACCCTAAATACCTAAGTCATACATGACATTGTGCATAACTGTTCTTGTCAACGAAGTCAGTAAATGAGAATAGAGGGGGCCTTGGTTAAATTGTAGTAGGACATTTAAAATTATCTTTTTCAGATGCTCCTTTTTGCAGGATTATTCCTTATTTTACGGATTCCTTCAAATAGCTTCTTAGGTAATAATGGGTTTGAGTTCTGCGGTTGTTGTTTTGAGTACTTTCCTTACCACCAAATGTTAACTTATATTACAATACGTTCTGAGTAGAACCGGTCTTTTAGTGCTCAAAGATCGTCTACTTTTCCGTGTTTAATGTAAGTGAGATATCTCGATATTTTATTTTCATCCAGTAAGTGAATGTTTCACACAAGAAAGTGATCTTTATTGAACCTTTCATTTCCAGCTGCAGTTTTCACTTTATTTCTTACCTCACAAGTTTGAATGCACTGCAGCGGTGTGTTCGTTTATGAAATATGGAAATGGAATGAAATCTTTCGAGTCACATTTTCAGTACAATTACATAAATACGAAGTGGTGCAGAAAAATTGTAGCACGGGCGGATGGTTGTGGTGGTGTTTCGTTCTGTGAGCTGGATGTTTTGGTTGTACAGCTTGTAGTGGTATACTTTCACGAAGAAAACACAATTGCTGAAATATGAATATTTATTATTGTACTTAATTCTGACAATAATTATTATTCCCGTTCTGCTCTTCGCACGTCTTCTGCGTGGACGTTAGCCATTTGTACGACCTCTGGCCTCGATATTATTTTGATATCAGGAGGCTAGCATAAAGTATACTTCTTCCTTTAGAATCGTCTTTAATCTGATTCCTAGAGTAACAGGATTAAAAGTTGTTTTACCACTAAGTAGCATATTATACGATTCGCTGAAAACCCTCTTCAGCACAAACTTCAAATAGACGTGAAATACTCAAGGATGTTCAGAAGAACAATGACAGCTTTACAGCCAAAGCATCCAGCTCAGTGAACGAAACACCACCCTAAATACGAAGTACTGACTTACGTAGTAAAGCCGAAAGTATTCGAAGTTGCTCGGTTTTGGACTCGCTTGTTATTGTGAAGTACACTTTCTGGGCGTAAACTCTTGGAAATATTACTTCTCATTCGTTAGACCAACATCAACGAATGTGGTAATGGTGGGCCTCTGAATTCGGATTCATCGGAGTGCTTCGATCATATAAGCTGTTTTGCTTTTCTAATATTTTCGGATTGGTACAGAATAAACAAACTTTAGAAGACATTTTTGTCGATCGACTTTCTGAAACAACCATGTGTTGTCAAATAGATTTTTTTTCATTTTATTTCGGAGTTTATACCACTAGTAAACAGCAAATCTGCACCCAAGATGGATTTTCACCGGCCTCGGAGTTATTCAAAGTGACAGTGTTTTCTCGAAATTTTCGACAGTTGGGAGGAGTCCAGAAATCCGTTTATTGGGTGTGCGTAACCGATATATTCGAAGTAGCAATTATGAACACACAAGATTCAAGTCGTTTTGATGACAAATACTTGGTTTACAAAACAACAATCACTTCAGTTATGCAACCTGAAATTATGGTATCTGTGGCCTGACTTTACTGACTGATTTGTAAACTGTGTAAATTAATCTAGTAACTAGATGCTGACTGCTTTTAATATTTTTAGCTTCAAGGGAGGGAAACCGGTTTTGCTAATGGATCTAGGTACTGGTAATATTTTTGTTCTAAATCACTTCGAAATTCTTCTATTTTAAGTGTGCTATATGATTCTTTCGCAATCATTGGCATAACCGTAGGACTTCATCCCGGAATCTACAAATTAGGGTATCAGGTCGCGTAAAATCACAAGCTTTTTGTGTGTCCTAAAAATACTACAATAAATCTTTCTGAATTATTTTATCTACAGTTGAACTTGTTCGCTATCACTTGCCGATGGATTTGTTATGTCGGACACCATCCGTCTCTTTACCACCTAGATACCTTCGCTACCTAAGTAATACCAAATGCTGTTATATCTCTACAGCTTGTTGACAGGTGCTCATTTGGATAAAATTTGTTTTTGGAGTCCTCTGAGTTTAGCCTGTGAATTACTCGGATATCATAGTCGGTAGCTGATGCATAGGGGCTTGTCATTAAATTGCCCGGGTTTCAAACCTTTAATTTTTGTATGCGTTTTTTTGGCACATGAAAAACGAATGCTCTCTCCTAACCCATTCCGTCATTTTTACTCTCACTTACTTTTGGGATGTTGGGACAAAATATATCAAGTGCTTACGACTTTCGGTTTTAAAGGAAACAGCACGCCCTCCATATATTAGCAGTGAATTTCTTTCTCTACTGAATGAGGAAGAAACACACCTAAAGATAAGTTGAGCCAAACAGTTTGAATGAGTATACACCTAAATCATCTAGATTAACTGATCTCATGAGGTAGAATATACGGGAGAACAGAAGTCAAGAACAACTGATTTGGGATTATCGTGATTATTGTGGCGCTTGCTAATAGAGAACTAAATGGCTAATCAGTGTTACAAAATATTTCACTCAGGTCATTTAGCTGTGGGTTATGAGTCGCTCATATAAGCGAGGTTTCAATAAATCGATAGAGCTGAAAACAGTTTGTTAACAGATAACTAAAAGAATTGTAGGTTTCTTTCTTCATATTTAGAATTTCAGTTGAGTGACACTTTTGATTATTGGATCCTAAAGATAAAGTAGTTGTTCTCAACAAAAAGGGAGGAGGGGCTTAGAAATAATCCTTCAAGTTATGTAGCCAACAGTCCAGTTGGAAAAGTTTTAAAGATCTCCGAACGAATCAGTAGAAAAAATGATGTAACCTTTCTTCACATCCATCGATTACTGAGTAGCAAAAACCAAATCATGTACTACAGACAAACAGAAAGTACGAAGGGCTTTCTTGTTATCTAAATGAGCTGTTTGATAAAGCATAACTGAGCTTTTTGAAAATCTGTACGAAATTCGAGACAGCTTACTTCAGTTCTTTGTTGAGAATATCGTAGTTCTAATCAGCGAATTTGAACTCTGAGTACATTCCTAAGATAAAAGTTTGTCAATCTCCCCGTCATCATATTCGAAAAATAAGTGAATGCTATGAACAATGATTGTTGTAAAATACATTTATATCGTTTTGCATCTTTAAAAGTGGCTTCTTACAATGAAGATGAGTAGGATCATTCATGATGGGACTGTACAAAATTTGAGGTGTTGGAGTACGTACGAAGTGGTATGGTATGGTGCTAACTTTAAATTCAAATGTTTTGACGGTATTTCTGTCCTCCTGTCATAGTCAGTAGGCGAGATAAAAACATTTTTTTCTGGAAAAGGCCTTTTCAACACTGGTGCTTTTTCAACGATGGAGTTCAAAATCAGTATCACCAATTTAATGAATGGATATGCTCACCTAGTAAAACTCTAAAATCAAGGAATAGAAAAGCGGATCTTGAATTTAAAAAGTTTTAGAATCCGAAATTAGGATAGGTGGTCATTTTATTACTTGAAATCTTCCGATGAGTAAATTTGTTATAGTCCTCCACTTTTCATTGCATGAAGATTAAGCGCATTAATTAAAAGCTCTTTTTGTAAGTCGCGCACTTAGATATTGTTCAGGATTAATGTAATTACTAAGATAAGCTTTAATTTTTATCAGCTTCTTATTATGTTTAGATAAAGCTGTTCTGAGTTAAATATAATGATGCATGTCATCCATCTAAGCGATCAAAATTTTCTTACCCTAGTCGATTACCCAGCATACATGATCGTTGCCCTTGTTTTCAGCCCTAAATCCTTTTTTATAATTATGTGACTTGTTTGTTGCCTACAAAACTTTTTTCATGTTTCTTGAGTGTTTTATCTACCTTATTTCATTATTTTCCGATATATGATAGACATTTTTAATAACTATCGAGTTTAGTTTATGAACGTTTTTTCACCTATTAGCTAGTTATATCATCGTCAGTGAAAATGTATTCAATTCGCACCGGTAATTATTTACAGATTTCATTAAACCTGAAGCATATTCCGAGGAAATTTTGGATGATAATAAAATAGAAATGTGATAGTGAGCATAAATAGGGTAAACATTGAAAAGATGAGATCAAATAATTTGAATGAGTACAGGAAAGAAGCAGAAAGAGAATCAACTCTAAGTCTGCTTTTCTCAAGTTACTCTTTTGATCGCTAGAGTTATTCTAAACCCTACTTATACAATATGTTTATCGTCAGCTAGTAAAAACCAATTAATTTATTTGCGCTCTGACTTCCTGTTGTTTTAGTTTGTTTGAAAGTCTAATGCTTGATTTATCTTTTAACGTTGGTATAACCGAATCCAGTTCCTTTTGTTATAAAAACATAACAATTTTTAACATGAAACTTTGCGGTTGATATGCATTTGTTGTTTAGTTAGTCCAATTTTATTTACTACACCTTTTTGTCTTAAGTTGATAGCATGTGACTCCAAGTATCCCAAGGCATACATTTTTATAAATTGTGTGTCTAATTATTCAAGCTTCTGTGAAACATGCTCGCTAGTCAATAGAATGTTGTCAGAACTATGAGGTTGAGTACTTAGGTCGTAAAATATATGATATTGAGAGCATTATAAGCAGTAAGGCTAATCCAATAAGATAAAGGTTACATATTGCTTATGACACTTACTGAATAATGAAGTTCCCAAAAAACCTTTTCAGAACATTTATAGAGTTTAAGCAGTAGCTTAACACAAGAACCAGATAAACGCTGAGGGATTTTATTGTAGATGAAATATTTTGTGACCCTTTATGTTCACGTAAGTAGTCAGAAATATTGCTACCTGAGTCTCCTAACTGTTCATAAGCGGGACTAAGGCGCTCATCCTTCGTAAATATACAAGAAACCTGTGTAGGAAAACCTATATTGTTCTTATTGTCAAGCTGATGAAAGCTGGACTCTTGTTAAACCTGAAACTTATGGCTAGTGTCCAGTCTTTTCTAGGACTTATTGACTGAATGTATTCAAACCCATGATAGTATCCACAGTTAGATTATAACCTTTCATCTTCCTCAATGAACATGTTATTCACGAATAAATTTAAGGGTTTCTACAGTCTTGATATTTTTATATTTCGTTCAGTAAACATTATGGTTATTTAAGCGTCACAGGGATTTGCTGGTCATTCTATCAAAGTATGTGGATAATTTATACTGTACATTTGGAATGACACTTGGATTGTGTTCGGGTGTTGTTCTTTTGATTTGAAACAAATACTGATTCAACTTTGACTTTAAGGTCACTAATAAGGGGTTGCTTTTAACAGTTCTTACTGTTAACCGTTCATTCATACAATCAAACGTGAATAAAATGGACTTGGTTTTGTATAAATGTCACCTAAAGAGAATAAGGCAAGTCTCAGTTGTCCTATCTTTGTCCACTGCGTTACACTGATGCCGAGCACCTCGAGGTTGTATCTTTCCATTTCTACAGCGACTTGAAATAGTCTTCCACTCTCATACAAAGTACGAACGTTCCATGTACCTAAAAAAATGGTTGCTCTGGTTGTCATCACGCGACGTCATAATTCTTCTTCCAACTGCCAGGAAAGAGTAAAAATGGTTTGAATTATTTTTCTTGGTTAGCGTTTTTTTGGCAAGTTAGTTTTTGACGGAATGGGGTCACCAACCCCATACCCAACCCTCATCCTTTATCCGGGCTTGGGACCGGCAGTAGCCCCGAAGGTTCTACTGGAAGAGTTAAGAGAGACCATATGTAGTTGGTGCTAAAAAGCTGTGTCATTTTTATAGACTGCTAATGTGAGACTGAAATATGAACTTTACTGTCAGTTTTCCAAAACACGGACTACATTTACTTATTCTGTAAATACATTTGTCAACTTAGAAAATTCATAATTTATTAATTAATGTTTATTCAGGCTAACAAAAAACACAATTAGAATGATGTAAAAGCTTTCAATTAGTGCTTTACTTAAACTGTCATGTGACCAAACAGATTCAAGAAAAATGCCATATTGTCGAGACGAAGAACAAAACATAGAGAAATTCAAAGTAACTTCACAGCTGACATATTATTTATGTTTCAAAAATATAGACAATAGTATATTTGTGATAAATGAAAATAACAATTAGTTGTTTTTCAAAATTCTGTTAAAGCTATTTGACTAATGAATGACCTATACAATAAATTCATCTCTGTTTTTAAAATTCGCAATCATTGGTACTTTACGTGGTAGATTATTTTTTAAAGTGCTACTGATATTTTACGATTTTCCAAACATTAGCTGTATAGAGATAAATTTGTTTCGATCGCTTACTATTTTTAGTGAAGTTTTCAACCAGAAATTCATATTTTCCATTTTAGGGTTCTTAGTTAGCACAGCTAGTTCATAGTATTGTAAGCAAGGGGGCTCTAGCAGCTTATGATTTCGAAAAGCGTAAAGCTACGTTTATTGTTTTGCTTTTGACTTTACAGATAAAAAAATTAGTGACATGTTAACAGTACTACTTATACAAAGTTAATTTAGTTAATGATAAATCAGAATAAGCCATAGCTGTCTTGTAGTCCAAAGTAAATCTGTTAGATGCTAGTGCAACTTATAAATACTTGAAGTTAAATGGTTCTTCTGAGCTGCTTATCATAGAAACCGTTAATGTATTTGTCATATATCTATCAAGAAGGTGATTATGTTCACCCCGTTCACAAACACCTCGAAACGTGTGTGAAAAAGAAATGGAAGTTAGAGAGGCAAAATAGCTAGGAGAATGATTTAGCGAATATTACTGTTAGTACGACTTTTCCCCCCAGTTCAATACCTGTACACTTTAGAGTTACTTAGACCACTTAAGGCCATAAAATAGATAACCGGTTACACGTTTTATGTAAGGTATATACTTAGGATTTTACTCGAGAGGACAATCACTAAACATCTTGCCTCAAAGAACGAGATTCCATCAAAAATAAAACTGACAAAAATGATTTCTTGATTGAATCAGTCTCTTGTGATTTTTTACGCTTATACAGTGTTCATTGTTGATTTGCCAAACAAGTATATGTCACAAAGTAAATCTTTATTCAGCTCCTACTTAAAAATATATAAACAATACATTTCTTATTTTATTTTTGTTTTAGCAATCAACCTCATCTTCTGACACACACACACACAGTTACACGTACACACTGTATACTTTGATCACGTATTTTTGTGAGACACAAATATCATATAGTTTTCAACAGAGAATAACATTCTTTATTCATATATATCTATTCATTTGGAAAGTTTTATACCAGAAAAAATAATAATAATAATAATCTTCTAAAAACTGGCTTCACTTAATACAAATCACATGAAGAAGAGATCAAGTGCAGAATACAGTGCTGGTAAGTCATCATGATATTGAACCAGTTATATTCATTCATGAATGTATATTTATGAAATAAGTTGAGTGTTACATGGAAGAGATTGTTTACTTTTTTCAAAATCTCAGTGTTTTCATATTTACAGCTAACTAATTTTGCTCAATAATATAAATTGTTTTTTAAAACTAGTGTACTTAAGCATCCTTAACTATCAACAGATCTAGTAACAGGGAAATCAATGTCCTTTTTTCAAGTTTGTAGTAATAAAAATCAAGTCAATATTGATTCAGTGTGTTTTACTGGTCCGATGTTCAATTTATTTTCAAATTGTTTTCACTGGGTGATCAGTACTAAAAACCATGTGAATATTGATTCAGTATACTTTTTTTCTGACGGTCCAATGTTTAATTTATTTTCAAATCGTTTTCAGTTAAACAATCATACAAATAAGATATTTTTGGGCAGAGTTTTGCAGGTTTTGTGTTTTTACACATTTGAAATCATCAATCAATCATTGTTAGACCACCATTAGAAACCTGGAAACACTGGACGGCCGTTTCGTCCTGGTAGGGGACTCATCAGTGGCAGTGGGCATCCACAAATAAGATAGGCAAAAATTGAACTATTCTATTTTTTTCAAATTGTTCATCATTTTTTTTACTTACATCTTGTTTGTTTAAATTTTCAGTTTGTTCTTTTTTTTGTGTGAGCTAATTACACAATAACTAGCGTGTTTTTTTTGCCGCAAAGTTTTGGAGGTTCGCGTTTTTACACATTTGAAATCATCAATCAATCATTGTTAGACCACCGTTAGAAACCTGGAAGCACTAGACGGCCGTTTCGTCCTGGTATGGGACTCATCCATAGATCAATCAGAGTTAGACATTAACACCGTTGGATGCCGGCCCAGTGGTCTGATGGTAAGGCGTTCGCCTACAATGCCAAAGGTCCCGGGTTCGAATCCTGCGAGGAGCAGTAGTCGTGGATGCGCGCTGCTGATGAGTCCCATACCAGGAAGAAACGGCCTTCTAGTGCTTCCAGGTTTTTAATGGTGGTCTAACAATGATTGATTGATGATTTCAAATGTTTAAAAACTAGCGTGTTATTAAAATGTAAATGTAAATCAAAGTAGTTGTGTAAATACAGAGTGAGGGATTTATCTTTTTGAAATTATCAAGTTAAATGTCTTTTTATCGAATCGCGACAAGTTTGAAGTCGCAATCCCTAGTTCAGGTGGATGATTATGGTGGTGTTTTGTTTTCTGAGCTGAATGTCTTGGTTGTGAAGCTTTCACTGTTCTTCTGAACAATATCATCGTCAGCAAAACCTTCAAATAGAAGTAAAGTATTCGAATTTCTTCACGCATTCCCTCATGAGTTTCTCCACTACATGACAAGCTGTGGTGGTCAATGTATCACTAGTCTTGTGACTGTTAATATTCAACGTATTCTTAAACTTCGTAATTTGCTCGTCTAGGCAGTTTTCACCAAGTAGCACCTGACGGTTATAAATCAGAAGGTGAACACGTGGGGTTGAGTACGTTTATTTTTGACACACCAGAAAATATGGACCAGTAGACCACAAACACACAGAACAGGGCAAGCTTATCAGCCAGAGAGTTGGCGAATCGGTGAATGAAAGGAAATGTCGAGTCGTCGATATATTTAAGAGATTAACATTAAATCGAATAGGATGAATATGCCCGTCAGCTAAGCAATGTTCAGTCGTACCAACTCAATACAAACCAGACAATAATAGTAAAAACCAATGGTACACATATAAGTTGTTGCTCTATACAAATAGCTTGATTAAATAACTTAATCGAAAGGCTTAACCAAATTAACTATATGAACAAACTCAAATATATGTGGTGACACACCAAAGCTACAAGTAATGTGTGTGGAAAATGCCAAATACTTCACTTCTACTCTCGGAAGTTTATGCTATGATGTCGTGGAAAAAACAACAATAAAATCTTCACAATCAAAACATCCCCCAAAAACTCAAAGACAATAAAAAATTTTCATCATTGTGTTCGTTTTTATTATTTACGTAACTTTTTAATGATAAAAATCTCAAACATCACTATACAGTATCATGTGTTTCAATATAAGTCAAATAAATTTTTAAGGAAATATATATACATATCTACTTATCATAGTTATTTGAATGAAATAGTTTTTGATAAAGAGAAAAAAAACGAATTCACAATTAGCGCGTGATATCCGTAGAAGAACAAAATCCCTCATATATATATATATATATATATATATATATATATCCTCAATGGGGAAATAATCTCAACGATTGGGGAAAAAATGAAGAAAAAAGGAAAAATTTACAATCAATTCAACCATTTTATTACTTACTCTATATCACGTAATTTTTGTGTCTGAAAGCTGTTTCAAATAGAAATGTTTGTTTGTTTTCGTTTTATTGAAAAAACAATACCAAAAACTGTATATTTCTTTCTGTGTGTGTATGTGTTTTCAAACAACTCATCAATTGGATTTTTATATATTAATTTTTTCTTGGAACCAAGAAAAAATAACAAATATTTTTTCTTTGAATACATATTTTTTTTTTCTCGGGTTGTTATAATTTTCAGTCTAGAATTAATTGTTTTCGAGTTCATTATGATTTTTATAAGTCAGATGATGATGATGATGATTTGTGCGCGCTCTCTTTCTCTCTCTTAACTTTTGACTGTTTGTTACTGTTAAATCATGAATTAATGATTGTTAGATCATTATTAGAAACTTGGAAGCACTGAATGGCTGTTTTGTCCTGATATGGTGGTTAATCGGAGATAATCATACTTCTTGAATAATATCTTCTCATCCTAACCTTTCTGATTACTTCTAATACCCTTACTAACTCTTCTACTATTGGATTTGAAGTGACAATTACATCTCTGTGCTAATGTGGTATGGCGACATGAACTGATGTACTTACGTACGATGTACTACGTTATATCTGACTGACTGACTGACTGACTGACCTGATTTGGTGGAAGTTGTCAGCAGTGGGCATTCAGACGTGATCAATCGTGTAGGCACTAAGTACTGAAGACAAATAGATGAGGCTGTGCATAATCCTTAGATAGACTAGTATTACACATAACACCATTAGATCCCGACTGGCACAGTGGTCTAAAGGTTAGGGTTCGAATCCAGTGAGTAGCGGAAATCGTGGATGTGCACTGCTACTGATGAGTCTCATACCAGGACGAAACGGTCGTCTTTCAGTGCTCTGATGCAAAAATTATCTATTTTTGACGAGAAAATAAAAGTTTTGAATGGAATACAATATCGACTTTAATAAAAAAAATGGCACAAAAAGAATGATTTATCTATTGACAAAAAATAATAAAGATCAGTATGAGAAAACTGGAAGTATTGGATGGCTGTTTCGTCCGAGTTTGGGACTTATTGGTAGTGAGCACCCGCAACTCTTACTGCTCGCATGATTCGGACACAGAACTTTCAGTCTTGCATGCGGGCCGTTATTCAACTGTGTTAATTGCTAACTCTGATCAATCTAAGGATTTTGTTCAACCTAACTTACTGTCTTCGGTAGGTAACTGCCTACAACTGATAAGGTTGAACTCAACTGGTCATATTTGGATGCGCACTGTTGATGAATGCGAAACCCTAGGAGGAAATGGCCATTCAGTGATTCCAAGTTTATTCTCATAGTAATCTAACGATGATTCAATCATGATTTCAAGGTTAAACTACCATCTCCATAATACTCGAATGAAAAAATTAACTATTTTTCGGAGTTGTCAGCAGTGCGCATTCAGACCTGACCAGTTAAGTTCAACCTCGTCGGGTGTAGGCAGTAACAACCGAAGACAAATAGATGAGCTCATATTACACATCAACACCGATAGATCTCATCCGGATCAGTGATCTAAAAGTTAGGGTTCAAATCCAGTGAGTAGCAGAAATCGTCGATGTGCACTGCTACTGATGAGTCCCATACCAGGAAAAAATGGCCGTCTTTCAGTACTTCCAGGTTCCTAATAGTGATCTTATAATGAATCATTCATGGATTCGAGGTAAATCTCCAATCATCATAACACTCTAATTCAAAAATTAACTATTTTGACTGAAAAACAAAAAATTTTGAATAGAATAGAATATCAACTTAATAAAAAAATGACAAATTGTTTAAACGCACAAAACATGCATGATTTATTCATTGACACAAAAATTAAAACAGTAGAAGATATCGCCATTTTGACTTTTTGTCGTCAAATAGCTTTTTGCGTTGTTTTTCTAAATGAAAACAAAAACCAACTTGTTATGAATGCAATGTTTTGTCTATTTGTGTTCTTCTTCTACCACTAAAAAAAAGCGAACACAATTTCAAAGAAATTGACTGGCTAAATTAATTTTTTTTGACATGTTTAAATATATAAAATTCAAAAATCAATTTGTCAGTTTGTTTAGTCAATATTTGAAACGAAAAAAGTTGAATAACAGTGAATTTCTGAAATCATGATCATCAGCATAGTTTGTTCGTCTAATTCAGTTTAAATTTTTATTGATTCAGAAAAAAGGGATTTTAATTTCAATCACTGTGTTGAAAACTGTTATTTACGTCAATAATAAAACATTTACCAAATAGTTGGACATTAACACAGCTCAGTGGTCCGGTGGTTAGGCGTTCGCCTACAATACCAAAGGTGCTTGGTTCGAATCCTGCAGGGTGCAGGAGTCGTGGATGCGCACTGCCTCTGATGAGTCCCATAGCAGGACGAAACAGGCGTCTTTCAGTGCTTCCAGGTTTCTAATGGTGGTCTAACATTGACCCATTCATGGTTTCAAAAATGTTTAATTTACTAAATAGGCTAATTAATTACTGTGATGGGATAAGTTTTATTTAAAAATTAAAAACAAGTGATTTTAGCTAGCTAGTTTTAGTATTTCGCTACTTTCATCTGTTATAACCACCAATGGGGAGTATAAGCCACTGATCAGCATTCTCTAACCTACTGTCTGTCCTCAACCTTC